AGGGTCACCATTTACGGTGACAGATACTCGACCATACGCACAATTGATATGTAATCTAACAGGAATATGTTATCATTTATCATCACTAACATGATGATTGTTATCATCCATCAATAATCTATTATTTTTCATATTTAGCATCTTGTTAACTTCACATAAAGGAAATAAAAAGAGGCAAAAATATTTTATTTCATCTCAAATTTCATTTATAACTTCTGCTAATGATGGCGAAGTTTAACTTCACTCAAACATTGTCACTTTGACGTGTGATGAATATTTCCAAGTAAAATTATTAGATTGTTTACGCGTCATACTTCACGAATTACGTAAACGATTACTTATACGTCATATTTATACGATTATTTACGTGCATTATATTTATACGATTACTTATGTGTTATATGATTACTTACATGCTTGTTTGCACATTATTACTTACACGTTATGATGTAAATTATTGATATGTATTGATAAGTGCAAAGAGTAATGAATAAAACATTTAGGTAAAGTTATAGGTCTGATTAAAAATGCTGTTGTCACGTGCGCTAATGTAAATAAACAGTGGTGACAAATCATAAGAAACTCAAAGTAATATATAAATCTTAAACGTATCAGAGAAGCTTATATGTATTGAAACAACCCACGCATAATAAAATATGATGTACGTTAAGTTAGTTCTGTAAGTATTTCGTCAAATACGTGAGAAATAAGTGAACATTTGTGGAAAATGTATTTTATACTTCTATTTTATACTTCACTTATACTCTACTTTGTATATTTTGTTTTAATAACTTTTATTTTAATAACTAAACTTGATTGTACTACTTTCGTGTGATTACACTTAAGGTGTATTCAGAGATGAGATTGCATAAAGGTCAAAGCTCAAGTGATTTGGGTTTTCCATTTAAAGATAAGAATTTCGATTTTTAAGTTTAGCTGTGTAATTCATACCAAACTACATATTATGAATAATTAGGACTGATATGACGAGATATAAGTTGATTACAATATTTTGAGTTTTTTCTGTCCGCCTATTTTAATGTTTACGTTCGCTTCATTTCTATAAGAATGATTAAAAGTGAACGTTGTGATTTAGTGCGGAAATGTGTTGAGATGTATTACTGAATAATTGGTGTAGTATTGGATGATGAAGTTTAGAGAACTTAAACCAACAATACCTCTACCGATGAGATAGGTAGACTAACGGGAAAAAGATCGAGATTGGATTCATGTTTGAATCAATTGTCGTTTCATTCCTCGTTTCATGTCGTACTGTTGTTTTTGCTGGCTTATCACATTGTTTATATCTTATTCATTGTCCAGTTAGCGGTTTAAATTTTAGCTTCAAGCTCAAGCTTACTTCAAGCTTGCTCAAATCAGCTCGATTGTTATTAAAGTCACTTGCTATAACTCAAAACAAATCAAATGACCATGTTCATGCTTGTCATATATTTAGGATATTTCACTCATTGATCGTCCCCATATCAAAGTGAGTAGTTATTGAAGATTAATTTGTAATTGTAGACAACCATTTAATCCATCGAGGATGAGACGAGACAAGAAAGATGAAGAAAATGGTGGTGGTAATCCATTCAGTAATCTCGATAAAACAGCTGTCCTACAGGAGGTATTCATTTGTTGCGAGAATTTGATGTTTGTCATCTGTTCTAATCTAGTTATTCAGATTACAGTTGGAACTATTCTTCGAAATGGTGTAGTTATGTTTCAGACGAAATAATCATAAAGTAGTACTACTGATAGAAGAGTATTTCTTAGTCAAGCTTTTAACTGCCCGCAATTCTCTATATAAATTAAAAAAAAATTAGGTGTAAACGGCTGTCTCTGTCATTCAACTTGTCCGGCATGTTTTGCAAGAAACTCGAAGAGCAGAAGTAATATCGTATTTAATGAAAACTACTTCTTTCTCGAGGATTTAGGCTCGCGCATTCAACGAAACACCGATAAATGCGCGGCGATGTAGTCTGATCTTGAGTAAATTGCTGTATCTACGACAGCAAGGTGAAACTATCGGTCGTACTGAAGCAACGGAAGCTTTTTTTGCTATAACAAAATTATGGCAGAGTAAGGATTCGAATTTACGTCGTTTGGTCTATCTTGCAATTAAAGAGTTTTGTGATATATCCAATGACGTCATCATTGTTACTAGCAGGTTTGTTCAGATTTATCCTTATTTCCCATTTGAGTAATACTATTTGTTGTTCATTTATGTATTTTCGTTTGATTTGCAAACTGAAATAAAAGCTCATCGAGGATATTTTAGCCTTACAAAGGATATGACTGGTAGAGAAGATATCTATCGTGCACCAGCTATTCGAGCTTTGTGTTGCATAATTGATGGAAGTATGTTGCAAGCTATTGAACGCTACATGAAGCAGGTTTGCCGCATGCTTTGAAACTAAGCTTATTTGGTAATATTGGTATACAGATAAGTAGGGCAATAAAGTGTGTGAGGGATATGAAGACGATTTGTCTCTTGATTTGTCTCTTCCAGGCGATTGTTGATCGAAATTCAGCTGTTGCATCGGCAGCTCTTGTCTCGTCATTTCATCTGCTTCGGAAGAATCCGGAAGTGGTTCGTCGTTGGGCGAATGAGGTGCAGGAAGCTGTTTCATCGGATAGGTTAACTTACGTGTTTATTTGTCACTTATGTGAAAAATAATTGATGAAATAAACTGCTTTAAGTTATTATACTGTAACTGAGCTCTCCATTTAAACAATACTGCATACTTCTTAGGAGTTAAATTTCAAGTAATCATATTACACTTTAATTGCATGTTTGACCTTTTCTTCATTAATTTTACCGAAAATTAGATGGATGACCTTTTGCTCAAAAAATCTGGTTCCAGCAATATGGTTCAGTTCCATGCTCTTGGCTTACTATATCACATTCGTAGCGGTGATCGTTTAGCAGTAAATAAATTGGTGCAAAAATGGAGTAAATCATCATTCCGTTCACCTTTTGCAACGTGTTATCTCATTCGACTTGCCGCCAAACTTATCGAAGACGATGAAGCAGGGTAAATACATTTGGATCCTCTAGCACACTGGTATAACTTTCCCTAAGCTTTTGCCTCCTAAACTTATTTTGCGAAATTCCAGCAGTGCCAAAACCTGCATAATTACCCGGAAAAACTGCTATATCTTATGAAATAACCATTAACTTTCATTTATGATATAGCAGCTATTCATAGGCCTTTTCATCGTTTATTAATCAGATGACTAAGTTAGAGTTAATGGTTTTTCAGAACAGAGAGCCATTTCTTCCAGTTCATTGAATCATGCCTCCGTCACAAAAGTGAAATGGTCATCTATGAAGCTGCTTCTGCGATTGTTCGTTTACCACGAACAACTTCATCGGAATTGTCACCAGCCATTTCAGTATTGCAGCTCTTCTGTTCATCTCCGAAACCGGCACTTCGATTTGCCGCTGTTCGCACTTTGAACAAGGTTTTTGCTTTAAAATTTTGGGATTTGGCATGTCTGAAATGCAGAAGCTCTTCTTTCATGAGGATAACTTCTATGCATCTGGACTTTCCCTTTCTTGGTGCAAAGAAAGCTTTTAATCTCTTGTGAAGTTTGTTGGAATATATTACGACAATAAAGTTGTGGTTGACAATCTCATCACCAGTAATTGTCGAAACAATTAGCAGAATTGTTATAGAGGTTATTGCAAGACATCGCTCTTTTAATTAGTTGATTAGAACTAGAAAGAAAATTTTTTATCGGCAATATTTCTTGACATCCATTTCCAGGTATCAGTGAAGCATCCGCAAGCGGTAACATCATGCAATGTCGATTTAGAACAGTTGATAACAGACCAGAATCGTTCGATAGCAACGCTTGCAATCACAACGCTTCTCAAAACCGGAGCAGAATCATCAGTGGAAAGATTGATGAAACAAATTAGCACGTTTGTGAATGAAATAAGTGATGAATTCAAGGTAATATCACTTATTTCATCCTCATTTCTTCGAGATTTATAATCTGCCATCAAATTATATAGAATATTAAGGTAGTAATTACAAGAAGCAAATGTTATTACCCATTGTATAAATTAAAAATAACTCTCCAATTGCTCCCATTATAACTCCTTAGGTAACTGATGCTTGACATTCTAATGTTTAATCTCAAATCGCTATCCTTCGACGTACACTCAATCAGATGCAGGATTTCTAATGACTTTATGACTACAGAATTGCCAATCTTATCAGATAGGCTGTTACTGAGCATTAATTCCATTAGATTGATTGACCTCATACATTAATTCTGTTAGATTGATTGATGAAATCAACTTGAATGATTCCTTGGATTTGATTATCATGGGTTTGATTTTCTCATATCTACTTTTTGCAGGTTGTAGTGATTGAAGCAATTCGTTCACTGTGCGCTCGTTATCCACGTAAGCACTCCACCCTTATGTCGTTTTTGGCTACAATGTTACGCGATGATGGTGGTTTCGATTATAAGAAGAGCATTGTTGATACGATTATTGCTATAATTGATGAGAACTCAGATGCAAAGGAAGCAGGTATTATATGGTCTTTTGTGTCTACTATTATCGGTTGTTCTGGCAACCGAATCAACCTTCTTTGCTCGCTAGACTGATTAGTTAAGGCAAACTTGTTTCATCAGCCTTTTTGGTTTTTCCGGGTTACGAGCACAAACTTCAGGATTGTCGCATTTGTGCGAATTTATCGAAGACTGTGAGCATCCCGTACTTGCTACTCGCATACTACATTTGCTTGGTCGTGAAGCACCGACAACTGCCAGTCCATCGCGTTATATTCGTTTTATCTACAATCGAGTTATTTTGGAAGCTACTCAAGTGCATTTAGTTCTATTACTACAACTAAACTCACGAGACAAAATGATATAATATGAGCTTTTTAACGAGTTGGATACTGTTAGAAGGAATTTTATATTATTTTGTAATTTGTTACAGTCTTGCCTTTTAAGGCACTAAAAAGGTTTTCGCACTTATGATACTGGATAATGCAGTCAGCAGGGAAAGCTTATAAAGGAATGAAATCTCTGAAACTTTTGAATGCATTGTGATGTAACGTTAAGGGAATGGTTATTTTAACCGAGAGAAGGATTGGGAAAAAGAAAAAAAGATTTGCGGAGATCGAGATAATCAATTTTTTGGTAATGCGTTTCATTTTCAAGGTTCGCGCTGCAGCAGTAAGTGCTCTGGCCAAATTTGGAGCTCAATGTCCAGATTTGCGACCGTCCATACAAGTGTTATTAAAACGCTGTTTGCTTGATACGGATGATGAGGTTCGCGATCGAGCAACCTATTTTCTTTCAGTTTTAGAAACGGAAAATCCCTACCTAATTGCAAATTATATTCTAAATGGACTGCAGGTTAGTTTCTGTTCTCAAAATAACATGCTGTCTTATATTCTTCAAATATTGTTTGACTAAATATTGTTTTTTTAAAAGCTGAATAAAATGGTTTGTAAAAAGAATAGTTTAATTCTCATAGTTGCAGAAGCCCGAATGTCAGATTTACGATGTTGATATGTATTACATTGTATCATTCACAAATGTGTTTTTTAAGGTGTCAGTTCCGGGTCTTGAAAGAGCGCTGGAGCAATATGTGACTAATGGAGATTATGATAAACCATTTGATTTGAAAGTAGTGCCAATTTCGACTGTTTCACTATCCGTAACAGAAGTTAAGAAGCCATCACTGTCCGTGGAAACAATTGCAGACAAAAAGGAGGAAAAAAAAGCATCTCGACAAGAGATTTATGCAGGTCGCTGATATACTCATGTATTCATTTAATTTAAAATGAAAAATTAATTTGAAAACTGAGAAAAAGGATTTAATGTTGCATTCAAAATTTTAAAATTCTAGATGATGGATTAGGATTAAATTCACAACCTATGATGGAATACTATTATTCATTGTACATTTTGTTATTGCAGAACAATTAGCTGCTATTCCGGAATTTGCCAGGTTGGGTCCATTGTTCAAATCTTCACAGCCAGCAGCATTAACTGATGAAGTGACTGAATACAGCGTTTTATGCGTTAAACATGTTTTCCCGCAACATATTGTCTTACAGGTGAAATTTAAAACAGTGGGACTCTAATCCATGAAATATTTAACAAATTTTTATCGTTTATCTTTGTGTTGCTATCTACAGATGAATTCCAGTTCGATTGTAACAACACACTGAATGATCAGTTGCTTGAGAATGTTTATGTTGAATTGGAGCCAGCACCAGATACGGAAGGATGGACGATTTTATATACGATACCACTAGAAAAATTACCGTTTGGCATACAGTCAACGACATATATACTGCTGGAAATACCCTCAGTACCTGGTGTTGTGACGGCAACATTCAGCGCAAGTTTGAAATTTAAAGTTCGCGATGTCGATCCTACAACGGGTGAATTCGAAGGCAACGAGACTTACAATGACGTTTTTGTGGTATATTGCTCAATTCGTAGGGATTAAAAAGGAATTTCTGATAGTTTATGGAACAGATTTTAGATCATTATCATGTAGTTTTTGAGGTCGTATGATTCAATTATCATTAAATATAAAAAATTAGTTTCTGAATTTATATTAACTATGATGGGTTAAAGCTAGGACGTAGTTTTCGAAACTCTAACAAGTCAAGAAATTCTAATGCGTGATGATTAAAGATCAAGCAATTTGAACTAACTGAGTGTGCTAGTTGCCGAATGGTTAATTGACGCTGAAAAACTGTTTTGGAGGCTATCTATAACATTCTCTATTTTCTTTGTTCGAGAGCTTATTTCTATAAATGAGTATACCATTCTAGTGGAAAGCTTCTAAATGTTTTAATTTTTTTTTCTCCATAGCTGGAAGAAGTTGAAATAACTGTTGCTGACCATGTGCAACCAATGCAGCGAACCAATTTCGCTGTCAGTTGGGAACAAATTGGTGATGGAAATGAAAATGAGGATACGTATGCTTTATCAACAGTACATACGCTGCAAGGTTCGCTTACCATTAGTTATAATTCAATGCAGGAACCTGCTGTCATTATGTAGTAATGTATATACTATAAATTTTCATGTAGAAGCTGTTAGATTATTCAAATCCTGAATAGCACAATTCTTAATATAACATTCCGACGGCTGGCGTAAGCTTTCATCGGGTTACTTGATACGCGTTCAGTTTCAAATTTCCTAATAATTAAAGGAACCGTGCACTAATAGCTTGAATGGCTCTAACGTTGGATATTTTCTATTTCTTGACATATGTTGGAAATTGTTATTCAAATAAAGTGTAATATAGGAGTGTTACTGGTTCTTGCCAGTATTACTATTTTCATTGAATATGTGATTTTCATAATTTTGTGATTATTGTTTACGTACATTTACTTTTGCCTTATTTGCTTTATTTATATGTTTGAATAGTACTTAATTTTATACTGAACAATCTAAAAAATAATTATTAAACTTGCGTTCCAGATGATGGTTTCAATAATTATATTATAGATGCAGTGCGAGAATTAATGAAATGCATAGGATTGGGCCCATGTGAAAGATCCGATCGCGTGCCGGAAGGTAAAAATGCTCACTTACTTCTTCTAGCTGGTGTATTTCGCGGTGGACATGAGGTTTTAGCAAAAGCGCGGCTTGCATTGGACTCGGTTGATAAAACTGTCACAATGAATTTCGTAGTCAGGTGACTTTTTTTTACTCACTCAAAGGAGATTGTATAACAAAGAAAAATCCTTATGTGGATCACTAGTTTTTTACTGGTTTTAATGAGGAATGGAGGTTATGAAGGCTTATCCAGCTATGAAATTTTCTGATGGCCACTTTCATGTGTCTTGTTCTTTACTATACCAATTTTTTTTTATAGATAAGAAATTTCTAATATATTAAAATGTACGGAAAAGGATATTGTGACATGAATTGAGACTAGGTAATACCATTCATTAAAGTATAAGTTCCCAGTTTATCTTGTATAGTATTGTTACCTTTCGAAATGTTACCTTCCGTATGTTTATTTGAAACAAAAGTTTTATACTACGAAAATACGAATTTTCAGGTCTGACGACGCAACAGTAAGCGAAATTGTAGGAAGTGCAGTAGCCTGAACTCGTGCGTTGATGGCTGCAGGATATATGTTTTTGCAACAAGCTGTGATTTCTTATACCTATTTATTATTTCTTGTCGGCGTTGAATTAAGCTGGATGTCTTAAAACTATATTCTTAGAAGTTATTCTAATTTATTTTTACAGGTCCCATATTTTTGATTTTAGCTGTTGTACTAAATGCTCTATTCATCATCATCGTCGTAGGAGCAAAAAGCTTTTCACTGCACTGAATCTGAACGATATTTGAAATATAAATAAGCCGTCGAGACAAGGCTTTATACCCTGCTATTTTTTATCAAATAGTGTGCGATATCGTTGATGGAATTTATTTGGACCTGATCATTCAATGATGTCATAATGTTTTTTTTTTTCTTTTTAAATAACCCACAACTGTTAGATTACTGCACATTTGATCCATTTTCATTAATCTTTAATAAGAAGAGAATATAATCGTTGTTGTTCAAAGTCAGTTTTTTTCCTTACCTTTTTCTTTTCCAAATAACTTCTGTTCTTGTTGACTAATATATTCGGCATTTAGTAAAGCCCTTTTCTGTACCAGTAAGCAGTTGTACATCTACTGAGACATGTAAAGCCAAGTAATGAACCCAAATTTTCTATACCTTATTAAAAGCAAAGTAATCTTAGTCAGTTTAGAAAGTGGCATATATCAGGTATGACGTTTTCAATAATTTCGGAACATTCGGCAAGCTAAGCTTGCCATATTTCAGATTGAGTTAATTCAGACATTTGGAAATACCCATTTATATTGTTAATGAAGATGAAAAGCCTTTACTAAGTAGATAATGCGAAATATTTTTGCATATAATAATCCATAATACAGTAAAACTTGACAATTCTATGCTTTACAATTTCAAAGAAATAATATTTTACCCTTTCTCAACTTCCGCCGCAATTATAAAATACATTTGTGTAGTCCTTAAATACATCTCTGTAATCCTAGCTTTTTTTCTTTTTAAGTCGAAGACGTATCTGTATGATGACGGTTTCTATATGATCGTTACGACACTTCTAAAAGTCGCAAGTAAATATTTTTTTTAAAAAAAGTAATTGATTGTAAAAAGATTTTCTAAGTTTATAAATTTTTTTCTTGTGAAAATTTCACCTCATTTTAAATTTGTATGTTTGTAAGAATTGCTTCATTTCCATTTAATTTCAGCACAATTTGTAAAAAAAAATAAAGTTATTTTTAAGCTGTAAAAAGAGTATTTGTTACATTTATTATGAATACAAAAGAAAGAAAAAAGTAGGAAAGGCATAGTAAAACACAATAAAAATATAATGGAGATGAAGAACTAGTGAAGTATAAGAAAGAAATATATTTGGATAAAGAAAAGAGGAACAAATTGTTGGCCTCTAGCTTTAATTTTTGGAGAAATAAATTTCGGGTAATTTTTAATACAGTCATTAAAACAATAGTCAAGCTTAATCCAAAGCCATCCTAAGTATACATTTCTTGAATCTTAAACCAATTGTCGATTCCTTGCCGGAATTTCTTCCAGGAAAAACCATCCACATCCTAAAGTAACCCAAACGGGAGCCTAAGACACGTGCTTTTCATGAATGATACCATATGTCAAAAAAGGTCAAACTGAAGTTTTCATGCTATGATCCTCATCTGTTACACGGTGTGCAACGTGTTACCATACGGTTACTACTGTGAATGATTTAATTAATATGAAAGGATGGATATGATTTAATTAATATGATTTACGTACGTTTATTTAATGACGAGAAATAATTGGTGATAATATTCCAGGCGTATAGCTTTTCTTACTTTTTATCAAACTTAATATTAATGAAACTTTATGGCCATCAGCCATCAATTCATTTGCCGTTCAAGATTAACAAATTTCTGTTTTCATGATCTTTCCCTATAGTTTTGTTTCTTCTTCTTTTCTTTTTTTTCTGTAATTCATGTCAATCTGGGAGATGGAATTTGTCAACATTACTTTACAGTACCATTCGCAACAAAAGAAATAGTCCATTCATGTGTGCTTTTCCATATACGTAATATTAGTAAGCTATTTCCATGGTAAATTGTTCCAGGATACATTATTTCAAATTAATATTTTGCCCAACAATTCATTGAAGTAATTAAATGGTAAGGATAACAACGAAGGAGTCTCAGAAATCCCCTTATTTAGATGGTACCGTATTTCCTGTTTTTTCTTACCATTTTTCAATTGAAGAAAACATTGAGCTATCTTGTTATGATTTTTTTTTTTTAGAAGTAACTGAAGCTGATGCAGTACCATCGTTTGACAGTATTGAATCAGCATTGGAAGGTTTCCGGGAAAAAGTCTTTGAGGATTTGAAGCTGTTTACTTCAGGAGTAGGAAAATCGAAACTGAATTACCAACGAGAAGGTCCTATTTGCTAATGTGTTACTTGGAAATGCTAATAAAAATTTAGAAGCGAAATGTGTTTTTTTGGTGCGGTACTTTTATTTTTCTGATTTTGCGAAATCATGCATTTGCAGAAATTGTCATATCACTTTATGGTTCTTCATACTTTCAGATTTTGTCAAAAGTTGTGCCAGTGATACGAATGATAGCAACACGTTTTCTGCTTCGACATCCATAGATTCATCCGTAATACGACAAAAAGAAAAGGAATGCAATGTAATGGAAATGCTTTACTGTGATCAGTGAATATCAATTCTTCTCGATATTATGCTAAATTAAAATCTGAAATGAGCTCCGTAACACTTTTCCCTTATCAGCCAATGTCACTTATTTATTGATGGAGGAAGATATAATTTAAGCTGTTGATGATAATATAATTTCTACATTTCATTGCTCTAACAGTAAAAGTGCTGGAAACTGACTTGGAAATTTTAAAACTGTATAACTGAAAGGACATTTAAGGATTCCGTTACATATCCAACAAGTTGTCGTTTTTGTGGTGGAATGTTGCGTGCAATCGATAAACATCGCGAAGATGGGATGCTTACATTACAATGTAGGCGTCGCAAATGTATAAGGTAAGCTTTCCATTTTAGACTTCCTTCCGGAAGGGTTGTTTGTGACTCTAGATGAGGATTAGAGTTAAACACTAAACTTTCTACTGTTGAGATTTTAATTGATCTATTTTAGCAAAAAGTGGACTAGTGCTTGCATATTTGCTGGAACTAATTGATCTTTATTAATGTGGATCGAAATTCCGCGACACTAATTAGCATTATTTCGACCTTGTTTGAATTCTTGAATATGTACTTCTAAAACTGTTTCAGATTTAATGGTGTTACTGCTGATAAGAACGCCAAACAGTTCTTATCAGAGATGGCGAAACCAAAGGTTCATATTTTTAATTTTTTAGTTCCATTATTATGAATTTCAAAGTTCAATTAAATTGTGGTAAACATGTTTTTCTACAGGCTTCACAAATTAATTATGGTTGGTATCTATCAGACCCAGTGAGACATTCTTATAGGATTTTTGCTAGCCATGGCGATCCTTCAGATTCAGAAGTTGATAGGTACGTTTTGAACACGCAGATATTTCATAATTTTCATTGAAGGAGTGATTTAATTCAGAGCTTGTAATTTCAAATTTTAATATCTCCTCATTTCCTGAATAAGTTGTACACTGTATAGGTCAAATGTGGATGTCCGACCAATTATTCGAAATGGAAATATAATGCTTCGGGTTTTCGGACAAAGACAGCTGGCTAAATTATTGTGAATCAGATTCAGAATCTTTTGCATTCAATGTTGTAGTCGTATTATGCATTTACTTCAATTTTTTATATTTTTGTTCCTCTTCATTCACCAAGTCTGCACATTAATCATTTTTATAATTGTCGCGCGACCGCCTCGCTGGGGAATGTATCTTTCCTATGAGACTGGCTATAATACGGTTGAATTCTAGTCCCTTCGAAAAGCTACCCGTAGCTTAGATTGTATGAAATAGTCGTCAATTTTCAGGAATATTCCTTGTCATGACTTGGTACCTGGTCACAGCTTTTTTATACATAGAGAATGTTGCGAATAACAATTACTAGAGCTGACTAAAGTTAAGATTTTACAGCTTTCTACATATTTGCGGTGCACCTTACTCACTTTACTTGGTCGTGTTTTTGGAAATTAAGGTTGTATTCAGCATAGGAATTTCCAATAGTGTAGTTAGGACAGTAAAATTCTTGGATTCTGAACAATCATGCTCCAGGCTGCGCAATAATCAATGAATTTACTCTGTGCAGAGATATGTTTATAACATATGAAAATCAGACATGTGTAGCAATCATTTCAAAAACAGATAAGAACATAAAATCTAGAACTATATTAAAGCCCTTCCGATCAAGACGTTTGGTAGTACTGTCTCCTGTAGTCTGTATTTGAGGATTTCATGTCTTTTCCACACACTGTTTTTTAAAAAACATTAGTACCAAAATAATGAGGAACTAACCATACGTCTTAAAATCGCGTTCTTGACCTTGTTATGACAATTTTTATTCACATTGAGGTCTTGGCTTCGGTGAGCTAGAAAGCGCTTCCTCAGCAACTATGCTGGCCTGTATGGAATCAATTTTTTTGATGAGCTGTTTGGTCCAACTAACCATTCCATTGATATCTTCTGTGCTGTAAAGAAGATAAAACAAGCTAGTGGTTATATACAACAAATTTGAGTAAATGGTTATCAAAAGCAAACTTGTCACATTTTCTAACTTATTAAGGATTGAATATGGCATGCTATTTCCTGTCCGGCGGTATTACTAAGAATGTAATAATAATTAAGTACAGATATCACGGATGGTATGCAGTAAAAGCATAATTGAACCCTCGAATGCATATCGGTAAGAATGGCTCCCTCTCGAATCGCTTAAATCAAGTGAATGAAAAGTAAAAAACGTGAAATGAAAAATAAATTAGAGAGAAATGTAACAATGATGAACGACTAAAATTAGTAGTAGTAAGGAAACAAACTTTTTAGATAGCATAAACTTCTGTGCACTCATCGATGCGCAAAATGAACGGACAGGACCAAAACGATCACGACGTTTGGTTGCTACTTCATTTGCAAGCTGAAAAAACGCACAAGAAGTGGATACTTCCGATTTAACTTATTAAACTAGTACAAATTATACTGTTGTAAAATGAGGCGAAATAATAATGCTTTAATTGTGTCAGTATATTGTGTCAGTATATATGAAAGACATGAAAAAGATATTTCAGCAAAAGGCTGAAGTTCACGAAAATCAAAACAATTTATTCCGAAAAACCAAGTTTTACATATGGTAACTGCCGCGTGGTGCCATCAACTTCGATGCGTAACGTTTCCAATTTATCCTTCATAGCTTTTTCTGATTCTGTTAAAGGAAACATTTTGTGCACAAGACCTGAGCCAAGCTGCAAAATTTAATTCATTCGGGCTATAACATTTGAAGAAAAATCCAGGGAAACATAATAGATGCTCATCAGGTTCTCCATGACACCAGTTCAGTTTCGTTCTCCACAACACGAGTTCAAAATCGCTTCCACAGCTTTCCATAAACAAAAGGCAGATCATTTGCACCAAATAAGTGCTGATTCTGTTGCAAAGTACCCGAAATGTTATGTTATTCAGTTTTAGTTAAATCCATGCCTTTTCAGTAGTGACATTAATCCCCAAGACATGCTTCACCATTAAAAACTACTTTTTCGCCGTGGGGATTACCAAGTTTCCTGCCTACAACCGACTTTTTAAAACTTTATCGACAGTGATCTTGCTCAAAATAAACATTTCATCATTCTGTTCGCTATTTTCATTCAGTTACGGAAAGGATAACGGCCAGATTTAATGTCTAAAAACAAGAAGGAAAATCAGTAAATATGATCAAACTTAGGCTAAAAAGCAGATAAGTGAGCAGAATGATGAAATGAACAAGCAAAAGTAACATTTTCGAAACTTTCTACTTATGTTAAGGTAACAGTCCATAAGATACACAACTAGGTACACGTTAATTTCCAAGCTGTTTGGTAGTTTCCTAAAAGATTTCGGACAATTTTCAAAACTTTCCGGATTCCTTAATGGAAAGCATCATCTAAAAAATCATGACAGATATTTATGGAATTTCTTCCTACTTTTCCTGGAAATTCATTTCCGGAAGAAATGAATCACTTTTATATTGTTATATTAGCAATGAAATCCAGTCTACAAAATACATCAGTGATACCTATAACTTTTGTATTCTCACCATTATATCTACAACAAACTTCTGCATAGAGGATTTTGGTTAGAATAAACGCTTCTGTCAGATTAACCTGCATTATGCGAACATAACCTATTGCATGAGAGTGAATTAAACCTAAAAGGAGCATCAACTTTACTCGTCCGAAATAAACAAACCTCTTCACTTCTTTTTTTCAATTGTGCAACTGTCCTCTGGATTTTATATATACGATTTCTCAGATCAACATATGTAGACAGTATCCGTAATAAACGTTCGGTACACATTGATTTATTATTGTTTACTGTTTCCAAATTTTTGATATCTTCAGTAATTCTGAAAAAAGCATAACAAATAGCAAAGAGACACGAAACAACTATTCCACTAAAAGACCATTCTCGATACTAACTAAGCTTTCGATGCATGCCAACCGTAACTAGTCCAACTTTCACTGCATTTAATTATTCAATCATTTGAAATCCTTCTCACTCACCTCATATGTGCATTATGCATGCGCATTATGCTGGACGTCTTTCTAAGTTAAATTAAATGGAAAGCAGGTACGAGATTATGAGCCCTAATGAATGAAGAAATTAGTTCTTTGAACAAGCTAAAAATGGACACACGATATTTCGGACAACAAATGGAAATTTTCAAAGCCTACATATCCTGAACTCTTTTGAAAGCAACTTGTGTGACTTTCATGTTTTCCACCAAGGCTTCCACTATGCCATTAGCTACTGCTATAGCTTCAGCTTCCGTCACCGATTTATTTAATCTGAAAAAAAAAAAAAAAAAAAAAGTGGTTTCCAAACATTACCAACGAAAGGTCACGCTTCAGAACTGACGTGAAATTATACATGAATTTCACTTTCTTGTTTAATCTATTCCTCAAATTCAGCTGCTTTCTGACAAAAAAAAGGATGTTTACTTTCTTTAACTCGAGCAGCTTATTGTGAGATAAAGAAGTTTTTGAGGAGAAAGGTTTTCACAACACAATACCTGAAATTTGGTATTGCAATTTGAGATTGAAGGATTTTCAGACATTCTTCAAGAAGACAATCCTGAGTTCCCGCTTCAACAGGTATATCATGTCGTCTAACTACTGCGCGTTTACCATGCCAAATAGCGTCAAGCCTATAAAGCAGCAAATGATTCCGCAGTCTAACAAAAAGTCAAGTCTAAAAACTAAAATATTCTTATAATGAATAAATGAGTTAATTAAACACCAGGAGCTCTTTCTGACCTAGCTAATGAAACATTTTACATATATATATATGTATGTATGTATATATATATATATATATATATATATATATATATATATATATATATATATATATAT